TCAGTTAAGGGGCACCTAACACTTAGAATTCACCCACAATGTGAAGGCTAGCACTACATAACTCTAAAGTTGGTAACTGCATTGCTTCTCACAGATGCTGATCTAGTCCTAATTATCTCCCTCAGCCTCGGAAATGCTTGTCACCCAATAAAGCAACCAAAGTCAGAGACCTAGACATAACCCTCCTCTATTCTCCACCTCCCAGCTTAGACGATGTCACATAAAGAAATGTTATAAACATCCCCTCACAACCAAGCAACAGCCATGATGGCAAGACCTGTTCCACTTGCTTTGGAAAGCATCGGCTGTCTGATGAGAAGACTCAAAGCCTCAAAGTTGTAATTGAGACCTTATAGCCAAAAACACATTATGTATGATGCACAATACATATTGGTAAAATATATGTATAATAGAATATAAAATATATATGGAATCATAAGTCTCCATAGTTGCTTTCCTGAAGCAAGAGCTTCACCCCAGCTGGTGGGGTATACTTGTGTTGCTCTGTAGATCAAATGTAAGGAAAGTGAGTCCAATAAGAAGATACGGAGACAGAGGGCTGGTTTTTTACTTTGTTAGAACCGTCTGTTTTCTTTAATGTTTCACACTCTCCTTTGAGTCTTCTTGACATGTTTTCATAAGTTCTTCGTGTTTCCTTGGTTACTCAAGTTTAGGTTGTTTTTGTTACCAAACAAATAATCCTAATTAATACATGCTATTATGCTTGAAAAAGTAGAAGGAATGGCACAGTATCTCTGAAATTCTATCCAACAATTTTTATGCTAAGTATGGTCCTTTTGTTCTGGAAAATCTTTGATTCTATACAAGATGTAGAGTATGAATATTTTATCATTTTGGAGTAAGGAATTGACATGGTTGCTTAAATTTCAAAAAAAATAAATAAAATGAACTCTCCTCTCTTTATGTTTTTCTTACAATAGATCTTAGAGTTTTAAAAATTTATAAAAAGAACATTTTGTTCAAATAGTTGCATTAAAAGTAACCTAAAAGGCAAATCTTTGCCAGGTATAGGGGAGAGATGACAAAACATGAATGAAAACATGAGAAGTTCTTCAGATGCCAGGATTCAGAACATGCCTACAATACAGAATCAGGAATGAATGTTCCAGCAATGAAGGAAACCAATCACATTAAAATCAATAAAACTACTATTGTGGCTTATGTTTTTGTTGTCAAGTGCTAATTTTTAGTTTATTACTTTGACTACTACATACTTCATCTTTTAACAGTTGTCACAGAATAATGTGGGTCTAAAATATAACATGCTAAATTCTAGCATGTTCTTTACATTCTCAATTTTTAAACACATTATAAGATAAAGGATCTTTTAAACTAAGTATGTATCTCCAAACTGCTGCTTGAGTGGCTAGCCTGGTTATAGTCTCAGCAAGAACAACTTTAAACACTATCCTGTTATACCAACAGTCTATATAGCATGATCCTATTAAAATCAAAGTCTATACAGCACAGGGATGCTTCGGCTACTTTACTGCCTCCTCTTTACAAACTTGCAGAGTCTTCCTCCAAACCAACTGCATGGTTTTACTAATTCAAATTTAAGAGCCCAATAAGCAAACTAAAATAGTATTTCCTCGCATTAATGTAAAACAAAGAAACAGCTTAGTAAAGTTATTACAAACAAGTACTTTCTCTTTGATACAGCCACAATTCAGTATTTGAATGATCATTATTAAATATTTCTATCCAGTGGTCAATTCTGTGGTGTCACTTCTTAATTACTTTGAAGAACATTTTGTATTGCACTATCCTGACAGTAAAATTGTGCAGAATTATCAGTTCCCCTGTAAATCTTGATTTAACAAAAAAAAAAAAAAAAAAAAAAAAAAAAAAAACCAAGCTTTCAGAGTGTTGCTGAAATGTATTTGCTGCTATGTAATACAGGCAGCTGTGGTTCTAAATGAGCACATCTGGGCTCTTAGGAAAGTTAAAAAAAAAAAAAAAAACTGGTCCTGGAAAACATTTGGTATGGCCCATGGCACCTATCATACAACCAGTCCTTGACTATCTGTCCAATTGAGTGAGAACACTGGCCATCACCAATACATTCCACTCAAAGAGATTTCAATTAATGACACAAAACAGATTTCTGGGATGCTACAAGAGAACCCAAATTCCAAACATCTATATACAACTTATGAAAGCCCTGCAGTCTAAGTGTGCAGCTAGAAAATGAGAATTATGTAGCCACTGAGACTCTTTAAATAGTTTCTAAGGCAAATCAGTTATCTAAAAGAAACCTTGACTATGCCAATCCCTTTAATCCAAATTTTCTTACATTAAGTGACTAAAACATTGTACTTGTTAGCATGATGATATAGAGGACAGAATTGTACAAAATTTTCCGTTCATTCATCACAGAGTACATCCCATATCGGTAGATGACAAGAGAGTATTATTTCCACCCTCCTTGGAAACCTCTCTCATGAAACTCCCAATTGTATTTCTTAGCTTTGATTACACTTATGCAAAACAGTCAAAGAGATGGATGGCTTCATCTGTGGCTACAAAATCTGTTAAAATAATGTTGCTCATTTGGTTGCCAGAGGTCCATGGCATACCTCTTTATAGAAAGAATTTCAAAGAGTAGCCTCTCAAGATTATTTAGAATTCCCCCCATCACACTGATTTTATTGCAGGTCTCTTTTAGGTTTTTATTGTGTGGAAAATGCATAGTAAGTCCTTAATTATACTTCCTAAATCAGTGTTGTCTTCCTTATTAATGTTCTGATATTGTACTTCTATTTTAGTTGACTTATATGTCCTTCTAACAAGCCAATGTATGAATAATGAGTGAAGATTAGTAGGTAGTTCAATACTAAGACTTTTAAAAATGACCAGAAAATGAAAATAATTGTTTAAACTTTATTTAAGCTCATGTTCCAGTCTCTTGCCCTGTTGCATCAACAAACAAATGCAAACCTTCTAGGACCAAGGAGAAATTTCCCTTCAAGTTCATACACTAAAAGGCATATATTTCTTGAGACCCAAGTTGGGAGTTTTGTGGACCCTTGTATCTAGCATAATAATACACTGGTTCAGTATGTTCCCCACACAATGCAAAAGAAACAAGACTTAGAAGTGCCTACTAAACAACACCTGGTCTATATAGAGATGTTTCTGCTTGACCCTTATCTCAAACTTCTCCCTTCTCTGGACTAAATCTCTCCTAAATAAACTTTATAATAGCACTCTCTTTTCTTTTAGTTCTCACTGTATTTATGTCATTAGTTTCTTGATTTTATCAGGTCAATATCTCTTCGAATAAACCCAAATTCCTCTGTGTTTTATCTATGTTACTTGCAATGTATCTTCAGCATCTAGTATAAGGCAGAACATAGTCTGTGCTCAATAAATATCCCTTAACTAAGTTAGTTATGTTTATTTCTCTGCCTGTAGTAAATTAAATGATAGAAGATTATGGAGGAAATCAGTATGAAAGGCAAGCAAGCACAAAAAAAGTGATAGACAATATAGAAGTGAGTTAACCTATAAAAAGTGGACCAAAGAACTCAGGGATCATTGCAGTCCAGAGGCAAATTGTCTTAACAGCCATTAGACATTAAGACACTCTCTAATAGTCCATAATTGCTTCATTACATTTGAGGCTAGTGTAATAATTAAAGCCATCAGGAAGGGTTAGCTCTTGATGCATGGTGAAGATAAAAGTAAAATTAGTAATTCACCTTTAAATTACATTCATTGAGTGTTTCTTTAAAATATTTCCTTTTCAGACGTGAACTTCAGTTATTGAGGAAAAAAAATCTGCTCATTTGCATTCTTCCTCCCACTTCCTAACACTGTTGGAGAAATGAAGTGTTCCCTAACCTCACATTAGAGTAAATAACTTTACATTGTAACAATCCTCTTTTGTTCAGTTTTATAGCTGCATGAAAATTATTTCCAAACTCCCCTTAGTGTTTATATTAACAAAAGAATTAATGCTATATAATGATCCTAGCAAATTTTGCTATGGAAGACAGTGTCCTGTATTGAATGCAGACCAAATTATTCCTTACCTTGCCTGTACAAAGCAAGAGATGGTGTTTCTGCTTGAATTGCCAACTGAAGATGACCTTGTGCTGTTTTGAGAAAGGCTGGCAGCTGAGGTCACCAGAGTGTGTTGTGATACACAGTGTGGCACCGTGCATGGCCTGAAGGCATGTCCATTGTGTAGACTACAGCCAAGTTGAAGACTTAGACAGCTCAGATCATTCTATCATTTTATTTGAAAATGATGGTCAAAGTCATGGGCAGCAACCATTACCACTTTCATAGAAGGACAGCAGCATTCACTAACTCTATTATTTCAAACAGACAGTTCAGCAACTCACAAGCAAATACTGTGAATCCAATGCATCTTGTGTTAGGTTCTTGTGACAGTCACAAAAGCAATATTTCTGCTCTTACACTAAAAAAAAAAATACCATCTACACTACATCACTCAATTCCTTGCTACCACATGTCTAAATCATTGAAGAATATACAAAGAATAATAGACATAAAAATAAAAACACAACAGTCTCGGATTATTAAAGAGACTCCACCCAATTTTCCTCATCAGCTTAGTGTTCAAGAAGCTTAATATCAGATTAAAAAAAAAAAAAACAAATTTCTATAAGGTCTTCACTAATAATGTCAAGAGCAAAATATTTTTTAAAAACCTCATCTATTGCCAGTGGTCCTGAATGAGCCTTCTAAGTGATTTCTGAAGCAGCATTATTTAAGTAGAATATTTAGATTGATAGAGAGTTATTTTTAACTTTTGTTTTTTTCAAGAACAGATTAAGGGCAGTACAAAAATATGTTGGAGATTGAAAAGCAGGTGGAAAAATTCACACTTCTGAGCAAAACGTATTGCCTCTCATCTTTGGATTTCTACTTCGTCCCAACATCTATAGATAGGGGGTGTGAAACTCCCTGTCACTTAATGTTGAAACAGAAATAAAGTTGTGACTTACCATTAAAATTCACAGCCCTGATGTAAGCCAGTAGCTCTTTCCCATCAATGGTGCCCATTCTTGGGCAAAGGCCTATGTATCCCGGGCAGAGTTCTTTGTGCATGTTGTGCAGGGCATAAGCCATGGAATACACTGCATCGATTACAAACTGAACCTTCCCCTCTTGTTCATAAGATGAATCCCGTGCAATTCTCTCCAGCCCTGCAGAAAAAAAGGAAAACCAGCAAAGGACAGTATTAGATTTTAAAGAGACCAGCACAGTGATTTCCAGCCTTTAAACTTATGTTAGTTGGTTCCCACAAAGTGAGGTGTTTATACTTAGTTTTGATTTAAAAAAAAAAAATTTGGAAAAGGCAAAAATTATTTAACTAGGAGCATGAGTACCTGTAAATCAAAATAGAAATAATATATGGCCATTATCTCTGTGTCCTCGTTCTCAAGTCCCATTTTTACTTTACTTTTTTGTAACTATGTAACATTATGGTAATGCTATGATCTTTTAAGGAAAATGTGTGAAACATGATTCTTTTTATCTAGCTTTATTTCCATAGGATCACTGTATTAGCAGTCTAATGTAAGGTTCCTCTTCACTTCATATAAATTCTTATTTTCAAAGTGCTGTATTTAGAAGTAATTTTCTAAGTATTAAATGAGAATGTTTGCTTAACTGACTTTGGATATCTTTAAGAAGAATCATTAATTTATTTTCCCTTTGAACTCAATTTTCTCTTTTAACTTTCTATTAAAAAGATGTAGGTCTCTGAAAATGAATGTCAGTGGGAATAATTACACCCATATTCAGGCATAGTTAGGACTGATAACGTTGCAGTATGTAAGTTGATGTTTATCATTTAAAGTGCAATAGCAGCATGAAGTTTAAACATGAGAAATAAATTTTACACATCAACTATAATCTAACTGTCTGATTTTGTGGATGAAGAAGCTGGAATTTTCTGGGATGACAGTTACAAGAAACATAGAACAGATTCTAGAAACTTCCCAAGTGTCAGACTAAACACTCAGTGGTTTCTTTTCTGGGGGAAAAAAAAAAACAGATTCTGAATGCCCAGCACTTGAGGTATGAAGAAAAGAAACAAAAGAACATATTTAAAGTCCCAACTATCACCCCAAACTAGGCAAAGTTTATTCCTCAGAAACAAACGCATATACCTCAGACTTGCTCATGGATCCCAATAATGTGTAATAAGTAATCTTTAAATGCAATAAATATTTACTTTCCAAACACTGATGTATACATTTCCTAAATTTAGTGGGTAAAATTGAAATGGTTACTATTTGGGGTATTCATACTACAATAAAGGCAGTTAACTGTTTATTCAATTTTCTATACTGGGTCATTAGACATGTTTTCCTTTGCTGTAAGTCATGCATAACACTCTTCTTTCAGATCTTATTGTATGGCTTTCTGGACCTCCAAGCCTGTCATGATGCTAAATTCTGCTCCTCCACTACAAACATGGATTTTTTTTTTAATTTTTCTATCTCCAATGCCCATTCTCCAAAACTGCCTTTTCTCCCAACCTCAAAATCTACACATAATTGATACTGTCAATACTTGCATCGAGACGTAGTAGAATTCAAAACGGAGATTAACATCAAATTCATAATCAATTAAAGTTATTCGGGGAAAAAAAACAATGTCTTGGAAATAAGAATTGTACACTTTTCTTCTGTCACTTGATTGCAACACTCGCATTTGCAATTTCTTTGTCTCTAGAAATAATATGTGCCTAAGTCAATCTTGAACTAAAATCGGGTTCTCATTGTAAGATCTGAAAGTAGTATTTTCTTCAAGCCTCCTTTGGAGGATTTTGCAGGTTTAGAAAAGTAGGAAACAGCCAGTTTTCACAAAGAGTATCTACAAGGCTCCAAGGCTTCTCAGTAGGATGATCTAAGTCATAAATCATGGAAATATGGGAACTGTCTCCTTTCCATGTCTCTGTGTTCCCTTCATATGTTGAATGCAAGGACAATGTCAGCACTGCTAAACCAGAAATTGCATCCTGTTCCAGCACTACTTCTAATTTATCTCCCACAGTTTTAATCACAGAATAGACAACTCATGACTAAATACTAAAGAAAGACAACAGCAACTACAGTCCTGGCTCTTTCTTCTTAAACTCTTACCTAGTTACCAGCTACTCTGGTAAATTCTGAATTGAGGGGTTTTTTTTTCCCAGGACATGAGACAGAGAGTAGTCCTGAGAAAACCATGGCATTTACTGAGGAAAAGAAGAAATAGAGAGGTGCAGACAGGGAAAGGCCCAAGAGAGCATATAGCCAAAACAGCAGCCAGGATGCCAGAGTGGACTGTAAAATGTGTAGCAAGTGCTTGTGATACTGAGGCTTGTTGTGCTTTGGTATGCTTTAGTAGGCACCACAGATAGCCATTTATCCCTTATGCCAGTGGTAAGTGCAATAGCTCCTATGGTAGAGGAAAATAGCTTTACAAATTCCCAAGGAATGTTGGTGCTTGTCTAATCACCAGAATTTGGAGAAGTGGGGTTTCTTGTGGACTTAACACATGCATGTGTGCATGAAAACACACGTACACACACAAACATATGCACATATACACATATATGAATAAATACAGTGTTATAATATCCCCATATATTCTGTAAACAACAAATTATGGTTTTGTTTTAAAGCCACTTGAAGTTCTGCTAGTCTGTATAGATATTCCCCATTCCCTGTTTAATAACTGGAGCAGATTTATGCACACATTCTTGACAGACAGATATAGAGGCACAGAAAGACTAAGTAGACTTGCTTTTCCTTGATTGTTCTTCCAGTGTGATCCAGCTTCACATGTTTTATACCTAATGGGTTCCTGTGCATTCATACATGTCAGAGCATATTAATAAAGAGACTGCCTAGGGTTTTCAACATTCCAACTGTTTACATCCTTAGCTATAAGTAAGACTCAATTAACCTATGTGAAGAGTAATAATATTCTAGCTTGCAATATTTTCTTTTTAACATATTTTGAGGGGTGTGGGTTTGAAACAGGGTTTCCTCTGTAGTCCACGCTGGTTTTGAAGTCATTATTCTTCTGTCCCAGCCTCCAGACTACTGGGATTACAGTGGTATATGACTTCTTCTGGACCATCCTACCCTTTAAAGTAAAAGTTGAGAAGGCGGCCCAATGATTGGTAGCCTCACATGAGTTGGCAGAGACTACAAAGCATTCTCCCACAGGCAGCAAAAGCATGTGTCAACAAACAGACTGAAACACATTTCAAAATTTGCAAAGAAATCGCTTATTTCTTTTTCCCCGGGTTGTGTAGATGCTGCATTTTTCTCTCTGCAATAAGTGTGACTCTCATGGTAATGCTTAGGATTTTATAGCAGCAAGAGAAGGCTTTTCCCTTTCTATATGTGAGCCTCTCATTCATCTAGAGTTTTGAAAGCTGACAATGACTCGTGAACTTAATTGGCTATAAAATTTCATTATGCTATAGTTTCTAAAGTTAGCGTTAATGTATTACTGTAAAGCGCTAAATATTGTCAAAGGCTGTCAGCCATCCATTAAAAATGTCACCGTAAAGTTGGGAAGTGTTTTAGTGTATGGCTTAAAATTAACCGCATACAGCAACAAACCTCTCTCGCATGTTGGGAGATTAGTCTGCCTCACAAGTTCTGCAGCAAAATTGATGCTTTCATTAATGAAATCTCAAACTTCTGAGTGTACATTATGTTTCTGGAAAACACAGAATGTGAATGGGTCCAAAAGATACCATGTGGACCTTAGTTCACGTACTTCATACTCTGGTATATCATCTTGGAGTTTATTGCTTCTTTTAAAAAAAAATGTTATTGAAAACATTTTTTTTCAGTAAGGTATTCTTTATTTTATTGATGATACATTTATTTTATTGAAAATATATATTTTCATCATGGTTTCCTCTCCCCCAGCTCCTCTCAGATAGTGTCCACCTCCCAGCCCACGCAATTCCACGCCCTTTCTGTTTCTGCTCTGTTTAAAAAACAATCAGACAAAAAAGCAAAAAGGATTAAAAGAAAAAGGAAAAAAACACAATTGACATGCTCTTATAAAGGAAAAATTTGTTTTTTCTCCTATGGGGTGTCACTGTTCATTGCTTCTTAGAAAAAGGGAAAATCAGCTCACGCTTACAAAATGCTGTGTAAGTTAAAAACGGGAGTCCCTGAGTCAAGCAAGCCAGGAATTTACAGTTTGGGGAAAGACTTTTACTATTGCAGTTTTGTTTTTTATGCATGCCCCACTTTTCTGGACAAAGTTCAGTTTAGTAAAGTTGGAATTTCAGAGTAAAGTTGGAATTTCAGAGAGTTGTGTTCTTTTCTTGAAATTAGACACGCTGTGCTTCAATATATACCAGAGTAAACAGTGTTTAATTCAAGGGAAAGAGGTAAAAGAAATTGGACAGAAGAAAAATAAAGCTTATCATTCCAATTGTTTACCTGTTTTTTTGTTTTTGTTTTTTTTTAATGTTACTGTCTCCATTTTGCTGGTAATCCTCCCAGATTCTAAATTCATACATTAAAAAGTATTTCCTTTATAATATTCCTCCCTGGTGTTTTCTTAAGTATGCAGCAAGTGTTTTAAATAATTAAACCATTTCCTCGAAGGTGCTGCTGAGAGATTGGTGAAGGGAAAGACAGAATTTGAGAGCCTGCCATGAATAAATGCATCAGGGAGAGAAATTCAAAGTCGCTCTGAATGCCACAAGAGTTCCAAGGCCCTTACTCACAGCCGCCATGGCCTTGACAGTGATGCGTCCCATGTCCTTCCCTAACATGACACACCGAGGTTGTGATTGCAGAGCACATGACTTTTAAATCAGTAGGACCCACAGCAAGAAATACGTGTTCTTTCATGCGACCGACTGCTGTTGTGATGACCAGCATAGATCATCCTTTACCCTTTGTGTACTGAGTTCACGATACACACAAAAAGTGTGAGACCACAACCACAAAGGGATGAAAATTTGATCCCTGAGTTCGGGCAGAAAATCGAGTTGACAAAAAGAATAATCTTATAGGAAAAGGCCCAACAGTCAGTTACCCTAATGTCCGTGGATCAGTCATTGTCTTGGTTTAGAGTTTTCTATTGCTGTGAAAAGACACCTTGGCTATGGCAACTCTTATAAGGAAATCGTTTAATTCAAGTGGATCACTTACAGTTTCAGAAGTTCTGT